GCTGAATTTTATAGGAACGGAGTTGGAGTCGCGCGGGACTTACGAATGGCTACGAATTGGTATCAAATGTAAGTAAATTATTTTAGGTATCATCAAGGTTTCTATAAGTTAACAATGATATATTATAAACAATTAGACAAAGAAATCAATCGTTAGGTAAGTATAGTGCATTGCTATTTTATTATTCAGAATTTAACAAATCTTTCTATTTAGTTTCGAATGAATTAATATTTAAAAACTTTGATGTTGATAATAAACTTAAAAAAACGCTTGCTGAAAGTAAATATCCATTAGCTTGGATTCCTTACAGTGAATTTAAAATCATTAAGAAGATTGGGCAAGGAGGATTTGCAACTGTATTTTCGGCCCTGTGGGGTTGTATGACTGTTGCGCTGAAATCATTTCATGGATCAAGAAATAATCTTAAGGAGTTAATAACAGAGGTACTTTTTTTAAAAAATATTAGACGGTATACTTTTTTAAAAAATTTTTACTAATCTTTTTCCTACATTAAAGTTAAAAGCATATTGTGATATTGGTTATAAAAACCCTACATTTTTAACCTGTTATGGAGTATCTAGAGACGAAACCTCTAATAATTATATTTTAGTTACTAAATACGTATCAATGGGTTCTTTGAGTGATAACATCCATTTAGTAGCACAAACTGAATGGAAAAATAAGTTAAAATTGTTAATTTCTATAGCTACAGATCTTCAAATGATCCATTCGCAAAATATTATTCACCGAGATTTACATAGTGGAAATATACTTTTATACAATCTATACAGTGCATATATTGCAGATTTAGGTCTTTCGATATCGACTGATACAGAATCCAGAGGAGTTTATGGGGTTTTACCATACGTAGCGCCTGAAGTTTATTGCGGCACTCCATATACCCTAGCATCAGATATTTACTCATTTGGTATAATCATGTGGGAAGTCTCTTCAGGAGAAACTGTTCACTTTGACAAAGAACAATATAGTCAATTTCAAATTTAAGTATCCAATGGTTTTCGACCAACTATTAGAGAAGGCATGCCACAATGTTATGTCGATCTTATTAAAAGATGCTGGGATGGAAATCTGAAGGATCGTCCACTCGCCGAAGAAATTTGTAGAACTCTTACAGAATGGGAAAATGACGAAAAGTTTTTGGCAGAATTAACAGAGTTTGATAAAATATCTAAAAATATGAAAGATTCGAATGTACAGACAAGCACAGAAACAAGTGAACACAGTGTACACATTTGTTACGGTAAATAATATGTATCATTGACTTCTCTTTTTGTTTTATCATATATTAAATTGACACTGCTTATACTGTACTGTATATTATAGAAAGCGGACAAGATGAATTGAATTTAAAAAACATTAAATGGCGTTAACATCACTATTAAGTTCATAATTCGCAATGTTATACTGTAGTAATGAACAAAAGCATTAGACTAGTTAAAGTAGTCATCTTAGTCTTTATTTGACTAAGTAGAATAAAATAAAATAAATATTGAGAGACTAGTTTCGTGTGGTCGATCGGCTAATGATTGTCGGCCATCGCGTAACGTAACGACACGCAATCATGTAAGTTCTTGAGGGGGTGATTAGGCAGAAAAAGGCGTATATTTGGTGAGTTTTGAATTTATTTTAAAATATAATTCGAAAAAAAAACAATAGAATCCCGATTTAATTGATCTAAATCTATATTGTGCAAAGATAAATTACAAGTTCAAAATTCCAACGATTTTTCGGCGAGATTGTTCAATGATTTGTGCTTTTAATACTTTCAATTACTTTTCACCTTTCAAAGATTCCATCGGCATTTTTGATTCATCCGATAGCCATAAAATACATCCTAGGACATCTACCTAAATTTCATAATATTACTTTTATATACTACGATCACTGGTTCTGATAGCTTAACGATGGCTTCCCCTCCTCACCTCGTGCACATTTCATAAAGCACCACCTTTTCACGTCAGCTACAATCGACTATACCAGCCTTTCGTTCACGACATGTATTCCATAAGGAAGTATGCATAGTGACTTGCATGAAACCCTGTTTTGAGGTCATCTTTTTAACCTCAACTAAGCCAACAATCTTATTGGTCTACATCCTATCGCATGATTAGGGTTCCCTTGGCCATTGTGACCCATTATGAGTTTTTCTGGCATGATTTTATCAATATTTTCGTAAAACGACACTCTACTGGTCAGGTAATTAGGTGTCTAACCACGTCTCAGGATTTTCATTTTTTAGGTCTACTAATTCACATGAAAAAACAAGATATACTGTACATCAATACTCAAATTCGAGTCTTAATAAATAAGATTATTCTTTGACACTAACGATTGTAACACTTTCCAGAATGAAGAATCGCCCCTAGGTGAATATCTTTTCCCATCACTCATATCGCATCATTATTTTCAAGTGTCAGTGGTTAGTACATTTCTGCAACGAAGGACGTTTAGTAAAGACGAGCTAAAATCTTTCCATTGTTTGCATATAAAGCCTGATCGAGGCAAGTTTCTTTCTTAGTTCTAATATTTATTTGATTAAAGTGCACACAGAAGCTGGTAGAAAAATCGTAACATGGATATGCTTATCAGCAAGTCAGGGGGTAGTTTGAAATCTCTTTTGTTGCGAGATGTTTGTTTTTGTCTTGGAATAAAAGATTGCTGAATTGATCTTTATGATAATTAGAAATTTTCACTTTTCAATGTTCTGATCCTATCTTAGCCGAGAAAAGGTGTATAAAGTGCATCATTACACGTGTAACATTGATCACAAAATCTAATTGGATCACGTATTTGACAGCGGGAATATACTGTATTGATATACCGATCTACTAAAAATTTAATAATTAAATTATTTTAATGCATAAAAATTAATAACAATATGTATATATATATTTTTTAAAAATTTTCGCTTATATTAAATTATATTAAAATGGGTTTATTTTTATTTTTTTTTAAAACATGATACGCGTGAGAAATTAATAATAAATCAGTGTTTAACGAAAAATTAACAAGTTAATACGTATTATTTTATAAATCTATTTTATCGTTAACGGTAATTGAAATTTCACAAGTTTAATTATTATTTTTTTTTTTTTACCAAACTTAATTTCTAATTCATTTTTAGCACAGAGATCAGGTGGGGATCATGAGTTAGACGACCGGAAATAAAAAAGTTAAACAAATTAAACTTGCATGCTATTAGATGGGTTGTAACCAGATAAGGTGCGTGCTACTGATGGATCTCCGAATTTCTTCCTGATGATGGTGTGGTGTGATGATGCTTGCAGAAAAGATGGTTCGATGTAAAAAACAGAAAACAAAGATCTCACGCTTAACCTCTCGTTGCATCATCTCGCTTGGCAATCACTTATGCATGATATTATATTTCTTTCCTTATTAATGTGTTTTTTTTTATTGATGATATTAATCTCTTTATTCGGTACGGCGATGAATCCTTATCGGTTAATAAAAGAGGATCTTGTGTCCGAATAACTCAGTGAACATCGTGATGTGATTGCTTACTGTTTCATGTTTTCTTTTTTCAAAGAAAGAAAGAAAAACAACAGTTTTGAGCTTAAAAAAAGAAGTTCGATAAGGTAGCCTACCGCACAAACCTGCAACCGGTATCTCCATGCGGACATCTGTTTGTGTTAACATGTCACCAAATTTTGGCGCGTCTGACGAGATGAGAATTACGTGTAGTCAAGCAGGAATGATAAGAGATAAAGATGATCATGCGTTATCAATTCATTAATGTCTATTTTGAGTTATCACTGTACACTTTTGAAGAAATTATGGTTATTTGTTTACGTAAAATCGTAACTACGTGTATGTTTGGTTAAATGTTTGTTTCGCAATGTGAAGGTCGTCATTTCATGATTTCGCGTGTAATCGTAATTAACGCAGTTTGGAAAAAGAATTAATTTCATTTCATTTCATATCAACTTTGCTGCGTTAATGTACCTTTCTTTTTTCTTTTTGGGACTTGTCATCGCCACGCGCTTCCCACTTTGAAACGTAATCTTGTTTTGGATAAATACTTTTTTCGAATATGTCCTAAACGGGAATTAGGATAACGCCACTGAGTTCAATCATCTATCAATCTTTTACCCGAGATTATTTTTTAGTAAGATGCATGTATAACACATGTGTAGTTTATTGTACCGACTTTATCGTACGGACTCGCGTGATCGTAAGAATTGTTTAAAAAATTAAAGTTTTTTTTTTTTTTTTATGGAGATGATCATGTTTCACATTATCCTCACTTTGTCAAACAAACAAAGTTCAAGTCATCGGTTCCCGCGGCCCCATTTCCTTATTTTCTGCTGTTTGCCGCGCTACTTCCCGCTGATAAGTTATCAATTCCTTAAATGGCATAACCTCTTCCTCTTATCAATGTTACATTTCACCGTCGCACAGTCATTTACGCGGTTATGATTCGCTTCTTAAAATTAGAATCTACCGTGGAATGTTTAGTACTGCAGTGTCCGCATGTGGTACTTTTTTATCACAAATTTAGCACTAACTTAACGAAATAGTAATCTTCAATTTGTTATATCATACAAAATCTGTCATAAACAAATCTTGGTTGCACAATCAGAGAAATTTTTTTTTTTTTTTTTTTTTTTTCTTGTAACCGGATGAACTTAACTTTACTGTTTAAAGATTACTTGCATAATACCTGTTTAACGATTTATCTTTTTAGGGCATCCACTAAGACTTTACGGAATGCAAGTATCTGCCATCTATAATTAATTTATCAATAGGTCATCCACTGATCACAAAAGTTTGTGATCAAAAAAAATTTCTTGATAAAAACCCCTCCCGTTGGCTTCCTTTTTTTTTCTTCAATTCAATCTACAATCTGCTTTTTTCTTTTTTTTTTTTTTTACCAAACAACAATTTTCCAAATTCAAACTCATTATTTGTTTTTGTAACGATCTTTTCTTTTAACGAAACCAATCTTAAACGAAATAAAAATGACTACTTCATTCAGGTCTAACACTGAGACTCTCGCTAAGTACCTCACCCTCGATCAAGGCGGTAAGGTTCAAGCCGAATACATTTGGATTGATGGTAACAGTGGCCTTCGTTCCAAGACCACCACCCTCGACTCCAAGCCGAATGATATCTCTGAATTGAAAGAGTGGAACTTTGACGGTTCCTCCACCAATCAAGCCCCCGGCGAAAACTCGGATGTTTATCTTCGTCCGGCCGCCATCTTCCGTGATCCCTTCCGTAAAGGTGATAACATTCTTGTTCTCTGTGAAACCTTCAACAGCGATGGAACTCCAAACAGAACAAACTACCGTCACGAGTGTGCAAAATTAATGGAAACTCACGCCGACAAAAAACCTTGGTTCGGTATTGAACAGGAGTACACCCTTTTCGATCAAGACAATCAAGTCCTTGGTTGGCCAAAGGGCGGTTTCCCCGGTCCTCAAGGTCCCTACTATTGTTCTGTGGGTGCTAACGTTTCTTATGGGCGTGATGTCGTTGAAGCTCATTATCGCGCTTGTCTTTACGCTGGTGTCACCATTTCCGGAATTAATGCCGAAGTTATGCCTGGTAACTATTCCCTTCTTTTTTTCTTCGTGATCTATAAAATTTTTTTTCCAATGACCTTCGATTAACGCTTTTCTCTTTGGATTTAAAGGTCAATGGGAATTCCAAGTAGGTCCCTGCGAAGGAATCACCATGGGTGACCACCTTTGGATGGCTAGATTCTTATTACACCGCGTGGCTGAAGATTTTGGAATTGTCGTCTCATTCCATCCCAAACCAATCAAGGGTGACTGGAACGGTGCCGGTTGTCACACCAACTACTCAACAGCTGCAATGAGAGAGGAAGGTGGCATCAAAGCCATTCATGACGCCATCGAGAAGATGTCGACACGTCACATGGAGCACATTGCCGTCTATGGTGATGATAATGATCAACGTCTTACCGGTCGACACGAAACAGGTCACATTTCTCAATTCTCATATGGTGTGGCTAACCGTGGTGCCTCCATTCGTATCCCACGACATGTGGCCGCAGAGGGCAAAGGATATCTGGAAGACCGTCGTCCGGCTTCCAACATAGATGCATACCGTGTCACTCACATCATTGTCGAAACCACCCTTTCATAGTCATCTGGAACAATTTCCTTGTGTTCAAGGTTATTTGTTCATTTCTCTGCATACTTCTACTTTGGTAAATTATATTCGGTATTCGGCATCATTGGTTTTTTAATCTAACACTATCATATTATTATTATATTTGGAAAATGGGTTGTTTTATTGGCAAGCAAAAAAAAAAAAAAAAGGAATACATTCTTTTTTTATTTTTGTATTATAGATATATATTTTTATGGAATATTCAATTTGCGCTTTTCTCCATATCATCAATCAAAATAAAGTCATCATCAATTTTCATTGTTCTAATTCCATTTCTTAACCAATGGTTATTATTATTATCTTTTTTCGTGATGTGTTGAAATTTCACACAGCTCTTTGTTTGTTATCCACATCCTTTATTACCACTTGATTTATCCTTGGGTAATTTCTCATTTTTGAAGTTGTTGGTAGTTGGAAACGGAGGGAGTAGGAATGATGGTGACTTTGACTTTGTTGATTTATATATATGTATATTTTTTTTTTCTTTTTATTTCCCCGACGTCAGTCGTCGTCGTCGCGAAATTCTTAAATTCTCTTATGAACAAGGAAAAACCGGGCACCTCACTTTTCCTTTTTTTTTTTTCCGAGGTCCTGGTTTTTATCAACATGGAAGAGAGCGCATCGAATCTTTTTGGGGAGAAGAATTGAATTTGCATAACGAAGGATGCATCTTTCCAAGGTAAAACCTTGAAGATTACTTGTGTTTTTCTTTTTCGTAGATTCTTTCTTTCCCTACTATGTTTTCCTTTTTGCAGAAAAAGGCAATTGTAAATTTGTAATCACCATATAACTGTAAATTTTTTTTTCCTTACTAAGCCAAATTACGATTACGTGTTTCTTCACACGCATGTTTTATTATGCAACATAAGCCTTTTTTTTAAAAAGACGACAATGCATATGTAATTAGTTAAATATCTATTTATTCATGATTCTTTTTTGATTTTTTTTTTTTTTTCGATTTTTCAATATTGATGATAAATAAAAAAAAGTTGAAAATGAAATTCTGTCGCGTAAAGTTTATTGATCCTTGGAAGAATAATGATTTTAAAAAAAAACAATGGTTTTCTCAAGTATGGTCCGAGATAAATCGAACCGACGACCGTTACCACATGATCGTGTCAAATTTTGCTGTACATAATACAGTACATACGATAAAGAGAAATATGATAATATACAGTACATATGATTATGAAGTTATTAATTAATTAAAAAACTTGGTAATTTTTTATTATCATCATAACTCTAAGCTCAGAGAAATTATTATTTTACGCGATACTTGCTTTGCAACTTTCGCAACCGAATGATAAAACATCTTAAATATTTAATATATTTAAAAAAGAAAAAAGTTCAAGATAATCAAGCACTAATTAATCCATCCAAATATTTCCATACGGTATAAGGTAATTTTATTTTTCAGGGGGGTTTCTTAAATTTTTGTTATATGGATATACCATATATACTGTACAGTACATTATATTGAAATATTGTATTGAAGGTTTTACAGTATATACATCCAATTAATCTTTAATTCTTTATTATACTTCTTGCACTTGGTTAGTTGGATGTCTGTTTTTTGCTAAGCAACTTATTGTCATTCCATGAATCTTTAATTATAGTTTGATTTGTATAATATTAAGATCAATATAATCTTAATATTGTATTTAACCAACAACAACAATAACAATAACAACAACAATAATAATAATAATATTGTTGTTATTTTTATTTTTATTTACAAAATATATTTTTTATTATGTAATCTACTATTTTGTATTTTTTATTTATAAAAAAATATTGATTACATAATTTCTTGTTATTAAAAAATTTTTCTAATAAAAACGATTTTCAAAGAAATATAATAATATTATTAAATAAATCAATAACTACATGTCAAGTCAGTCAAATGCAAGAAGAGATTGTGAAAGAAGAAAATTTGACTAACAGCACCGATCATATAAGGATTTGTTTTGCTGAAAGCCTAGACTGCTAACCAGTGTAGAAGCATGCAATTATAAGCAACTCTATCTTGAATATCTGATAATATCACCATTCCACACATCACTTAAGAAGAATGATCATGAAACTGTCTTATTGTTTTACCAGCTCCCAATCTTTCACAACAAAAAACCATGAGCAACTTACCCCTATCAAAAGATTAGCATAAACCAATTATGCTATATTGATATCTAGGTCATCAATATGGATAGAATTGGTAATCTCAATTATACTATCTTTGGCCACATAATTACACAGGTCCAGGCCACAATCCAAAACCCAAGTACTGTATTACTCCCCACTATTATTACTTATGGAGCACATATGCAGGGTTTATAATACAATTAATAGCTAGCTATTTTTATATTTTTTCTTATTTTTCTCTACTTGGATTCTTAAAGATTCACATACTGTATATCAACTTTATTTGCATTAAGCTAGAATTAATTTAATTACTTTGTATGTTAAAGATCATTAATATAATAATGTAAAAACAAAAGTTTAATAAATGTTTTGTATTTAATGCCTTTTGCAAAAAAAAAAAAAAATTATTATTAAACATCAAGAAATTTTTTCGAAAATTTCTGAAAAAATCTTTGAAAACCTTCAAAGGTTTATAAAAATTTTTAAAATAATAAACTAGAAATTTTTATTTCAAAAAAATTTAAAAAAATTTATTACTTTTACCAAATTTTGGAATTATATAAACTAAATTATCTATTGCTCTTATATCTATTAGATTATATATATCTGTTGATTTAAGATATGCACAGTCATATATGTATAGTGATTTTTTCGATTTAAAATCATACTATTATATTAATACTAATTGAAATGGAGATCTCTAAATTGTTCCACTTATCTTTATTATTAATAAAACCTAAAAATTATATTAGTCTTAAAATAAAATAAAATTTATATTTTAAATAATTATAATTATCTTTCTATAACAGATTCTATCATCTATTATATAGTTACATAATTCTTCGAAGTTCATTTTAATTGATATATTACTAAACCATAAAGTGTTATAATATTTATTAGATATCTGGACAATTCCACCATTCTCTATTATAACTGTTTCAAATATCATTAATATAAAATTATTTATTAAAAT